TACACACCATTCCCAACATACACAGGATACCTCCTCTAATATTTTTTGATAGTATTAAAATCTAGACTAATCTAACAGTTCACTAACACAGAATTAAAGTTACAATATTTTCATAAACATATTATGAAGCTCTTAAAAAGAATGAGACAAACATATATAAAGTGTTGATATAGAATAATTTTTGAGATCTATTGCTAAATGATGTAAAATGTCAATATTGTTAGACTGAATATCAAAATTTGGATTTTGATACAAACTATATGCTGTCTCCAAAAGAAGCGCTATAGTTAAAAAAATATAGTGAAGCTGAAAATAAATGGAAAGAAAAGATAAACCATGAAAACAATAAGCATAAGAAAGGTAAAGCAGCTACATTAATATCTGATAAACTTCAAGACAAAAACATTACCAGAGATGAAGACATACTGAAATAATAAAAGGCTCATGTTATTAGAAAACATATACTAAATGTCTAAGTATTTAAGAGTAAAGCTTCATCAATATGCATGAAGCAAAAAATTGACAGAAATAAAGAAGAGACAATACCACGACCATATCTGGGATATTTTAACACTTCATTTCAGGAATGTATAAAACAATTATGCCAAAAAAAAAAAATCAGGGAAGATATACATGATCCAAACACCATAACCTAATTGATATATATATATAGAATGTTACACCCAACAACTGCAGAATACATGTATTCTTATCAAGTGGATATACCAAAAAAGACTATATGCTGAGCTACAAACAAGCTGTAATAAATTTGAAAGGATTCAAATTGTATTTTTTATGATCATAATTAAATTAGAAATCAAAACAATATGATATCTAAAACACAGCTTAAAATTTGGCAATTAAACCACACAATTATATAACTAATGCGTCAAAGATGAAATTCTACAGAAAATGAGAAAATATTATGAACTGAATGATAACAAAAAAACAACTTATCAAAATTCTGGGATGCAGCTAAAGCAGTCCCTGGAGGGAAATTTATAGCTTTATAAGAAAACAGTTATTTATGGAGGGAAAAGAGAGAAAACTGTAAGATCAGTGAAGAAAGGTATAACCTAGAGTTCCAATGTAAGAAACTAGAGAGCAAAATTAACTCCAATAAGAAAAGGAAATAATAAACCAGAAATCAGTAAAGCCAAAAAGGAGTAAAAATTAACAAAAACAGAAGTACTTTTCTGAAAAGATTAACAAAATTGACAAATGCCTCATTAAAGTTATAAAGAGAAAAGAAAAGAATACAAATTACCAGGATCAGGAATGAAAGAATGGTTGTCACTATGGAATCTACAAAGAAGAAAGGTAAAACAAAGTAACACCAGAACAACTTTACGCCAAATTTTCTAATTTAAGTGAAACAGAGAAATTTAAGTAAAACTGATACACAATAAAACAAAATCTGAATATTTATATATGATACATATGTTTATATATATATCTTATATATAAATAGGTCATATATAAATATATATACAAATTTTCTTATATATGTATACATGTAAATTTATATATATATACACACACACACACACACACACACACACACACACACACACAAATTTAGGCAGGGTGCAGTGGCTCACACCTATAATCCTAACACACCCTGGGAGGCCAGAAAGGGAAGATCACTTGAGCTCAGGAAGGCAACACAGCGAGACCCCATCTCAACAAAATTGGCTGGGCGTGGTGGCACACACCTATAGTCTCAGCTACTTGGTACGCTGAGATGAGAGGATCACTTAAGCTTGGCAGGTCAAGACTGAAGTGAGCTGTGATTGTGCCACTGTACTCCAGCCTGGGCAACAGAGCAAAACCTTGTCTCCGAACCAACCCCTCCAAACACACACAACACACACATGAAAATTTTAATTTGTTATTAAAAACTTCCCAACAAAAAAAATATCTGGCCCAGGTAGTTGCATTTAGGTCTATCTATCAAACAGTTAAGGAAGAAGTAACTACAACACTCCACAAATTACTTCTGAAAACAACTTTAATAATAATACCTCATTTAATGAGACCAGATAACTTTCACTAAAATCTGACAAAGGCATTCCAAAAATAAAATTCCTACCAATATTTATTAAATAGTTTCAAAATATATTCAGAAACAAAATACAGCAAAATATAAAAAGGATACATTACGGCCAAGGAACATCTAAGGAATTAAAAGTTGATTTAACATTTGAAAATCTTACAAGTAATTTATGCTATTAAAATTAAAAGAATAATGGGGGAAAACCTCATGATTATCCCCAGAGATGAAAAAAAAAGTATCTGGCAACATTTAACATCCATTCGCAGTAAAACAACAACAACAAAATCTCAGTGAAATAGGAATAGAAGGAAATTTCCTCAAACTGATAAAGGGAATTGATGTAACTGATGAAAACTACAAATAATGCGATACTTCAATTTTTTTAGAAAAGGAGTATTTCAAAGCTTTTATGGAAATCTCAAAGAATGTAAACAATACAGATGGAGACAATTTTTTAAAACAAGACTGTAAACTAAAAGTTATAAAAGATATACTTGAATATATAAAAGTTTAAAACTTATGAATCATAAATTACTATAAAGACAACAGACCAACAGAAGAGTAGAGAGAGGAGAATTAATCCTATAATCTACAAAATACTTTATAAATTAATCAGAAAAAGGCAAAGAACTCCAGCAAGACTTAGGAATAGACAATTCACAAAAAAGCAAATCTACATGTCCAATAAATTTATAAAAAGGATGTTCAAATTCACTAGTTAGAAAATACAAATAACGATTATACCTGTAGATAGAGACTCTCACATATTGTTGGTAGAAATGTACTACAGCCTTTCTGGAACTCATTTTGGCAACATCTATTAAAGTTAAAAATATATATCCCTTTAATCCAGCAATCCCACATCTGGAAATCTGTCCCACAGATGAAAAAAGGTATATGTTCTTTGATCTAGCAATTGTATTCTTGAGAACCATTTTCTAAGAAATAAAATTGCTACTACACAAGGACATATATAACAGGATGCTATTCAGCAATGTGTGTGGTAGGAAAACAAGGAAAACAAATACCACTGATATGAAAATTAATGAATAAATTATGGTATAACTATCCCATTTCTCATTCAGTATTCATCACAAAGATTGATTTAGATCTTTATTGGGTGACTTGGAATCATATTTCCATGGAGTATTATTGAGTGAGAAAGATAAGAAACAGAAAAGCAAGCCATTAAAGTGATAAACCAAGTAAACATTACAAAAAAAGCTCTGCTTTTATTTCTGTCTGCTGTATCATATTGTAGAAGATAAATATAAGACTATTAAAAGGGGTTGGCTTTCAGTCATCAAGACTGGGCAGGAAAGCCTATGTGTGGGAAATGTGTAGACCCCAGCCAAAAAAATAACAACTTTAAAAAACAGGTAAATAATGCTAGGTGCAGTGGCTCATGCCAATAATCCCAGCACTTTGGAAGGTAAGAGGATTGCTTGAGCCCAGGAATTTGAGGTCTGCCTAGGCAACAAAATAAGATCCCATCTCTGCAAAAAAAATTTTTTTTAATTGTTAAGTACATGAATAATTATTCATAATATAAATTATTATATATTATTCAAAATATAAAAACAAATGATGTATGTGTTTAAGTATACACCAAAGAAACTAAATTAAAATGAATCTTATAAAATGCTTATAACATGGTCCTTGGAAACCTTTCCACTTTAATCTCAATCTTAACTTAGAAGTTCTGCAATTTAATCTTGATTTTCAAGTTCTTGTCCTCTATATAGACAAAATAAGGGCCTCCAGTCTGTCTTCCTACTGAAATTAAATTTTAATTATTATCTAAGTAGACAATAATGTCTGATTCTGATGATGATCCTGAAGGAAATATCACAAAATCTGTCACAAAACAAGTACGTACACAACATCACTTGGCCATATCCTTCCACGGAGCTTGCTCTGGAACTCCAGCCAGCTATTTCCTCATCAAGGAGGTAATTTGCACTAAATATAGTGCATGGAATCAGAAATAGTAAAGTTAGATTAATATTCAGTATTAAATGCTGCTGACATCTCAATGTAAATCTCAACTCAATAAAGTTGTTCATGTCGTTTTTAAAAATAATGTCACAGATTCACATCACCAGAAAAATAAATGTTCCTAACTTTTATTCTAAAGGCTCTCAGTGCACGAACAACAATCAGATTTTTAGGTAATTTCCAAATTCAAACATTATGATGAATAAATTTTACTAGGAGAAAAAAATGAGCAGAACAAATTTCAGTCAGCATAAATTACTTAAATGCAAGTTCAAATATGTTGATATTATTAAAATATTAATTGTATATCTTTGTATAATTTATAAAGTTGTTCAAAGAAAACATTTCATCTACTTCTAAGTAAAAAAACAATGTTTTCAATTAGAATAAAACAGATTGTAAAGAATGATACTTAAGAGTTCAGTTTGAATTTCAATAGTGTAGATGCTAGAATAAAAACCGCATAGTCAACATCATGAATTATCTCTTCCTTTATCTTTAATATGACATTCAGCAATAGGAAGCCCTAATTTCTAGGTATACTGTTTTCCATTTTCACTTAGAAGATCAGCACGTAGTATATAAAAAGAAAAAGTGGGGGATGTACTTTGGCTCTATTCTAGAACTAAATGGAAACAAATAAGCAAAAAAAAAGAAACAAATATTGTATACCATACTGGTGAGGAAGAGAAATCTAGACTTAGAGAAATGAGTAGTAAAAACTGCAGTGAAGACAGTTAACTTCTTTCAAAATAAAGGACATATTTTAAAAATCGGAAAATGTTTTAAAGAAACAAATGTATGCATATACACAGAAGAAAAAGATTATATATAGAGAGAAAAACAATATAAGTCTTAAAAATACATGGGTGTGAGTCATTAGAAATTTCTAAGACTAAAAGGTCAAAATAATTCTTCCAGAATAAGAATATCTACATAAAGTTACCTTTTCAAATTCACCATTGCCCAAGGAATCCCAGTAGGTGTGTTAAAGGCAGGAAGGAGTTTCTCAGCCAATTGTACTGCTTTAATCTTGAATATCTGAGATTTAAAACATGGAATATTCATAAATTATAGCCACCAGTAAGCATTTACTTATTGTGCTCTCTCTCTCATAGTATACATAGCACAAGGTACTGAGTACACGCAAGCACAAGGTGGGAAAAAGCATCTCATTGGTACCATGCAGCATACGGCAATGAGAGAATATGTTTGCAAACTGTATACTAAGGAAAGAAAGCTAACCATGCAAAGGCCTGAAACTACAATTAATTGAAAAGCAAGGACTTAATTTTGGTGTTGATATTCTATTTTCAGCTGGTAAAAACTTTAAGAGGAAATATTAGGCTATGGACTTTTCATCCAAGGTAAACAAGTTTAGTCCAAAATATAAGCAAAAGAAAGAGGTAACTCAATTTGGATAAATGCCCTTAAACTACTATGAACATGTTATGTCTCAAAATTTTCCATCAAGGTTTAACCATATTATAAAAAAGAAAAGAAAACATTTGAGTTCACATGTTAAATTTACTTTGAGAGTTATAAACGCTTCATTGTGGCCGGGTGCAGTGGCTCACGGCTGTAATCTCAGAACTTTGCGGGGCCGAGGCAGGTGAATCATGAGGTCAGGAGTTCAAGCCCAGTCTGGCCAACATAGTGAAAGCCTATCTCTACTAAAAATACAAAAATTAGCTGGGCATGGTGGCGGGTGCTGTAACCCCAGCTGCTTGGGAGGCTGAGGCAGGAGAATGTAAACCCGGGAGGCGGAGGCTGCAGTGAGCCAAGATTGCACCACTGCACTGCAGCCTGGGCAACAGTGCGAGACTCCGTCTCTAAATAAATAAATGCTTCATTTTTCAGTCCCAAATGCTGCTTTTTTGGTATCCGAAAACAATAAATTTCCTAAATACAGTGGTATCCAAACTTTTAAAATCATGTAGATAGTAAAGTTTCTATTATTTTCTTAACATGCAGTATTATGAAGATGTATATAGTAAAATTTCTACTATTTTCTTAGCATACCCAATAGATAAGTGTGCACACTTAACTTTAGAAACCACTGACTTACAGATTCCAAATTGTGACTGGGTCATAATGTTCTATTAGAAAAAGTAGCACACTCTCCTATATGCATCAAGCCTATCCCCTCCTCTCAAATGGTCTCCAAATTGAATGGTTACTTAAAGCTCGAACTTTTCACTGAAGTCAAATAATATGATAAAAATAGTCTTAGATTCTTCTAATTATATAATAAGTAGTTAAAGATCTGGAATAACTCAAAATTTTGAGTTGAGATTATAACAAAGCATACCAACATTACTGGGGATAGAAAACATGAGAGAGAAATATGTACAAGTAGATAAGGAAATATCATAGAGGTAATGTATCCCCATTACCTCTGTGTCTTCACCCCCTCCTTCATGCACCCTCTTCCATTCACTCTGTCCCTCATTAAGATGTTCCAAAGTTCCCTCAGTAAGGCAAAAGCTACTTAGCAAAACTTTTAATTAGATATAGTCACACATCTACGATTTATCATTTCCTTCTGTATCTACTTTAACATCAAAATCCCAAAGAAAAACATTATAATTTACGGTGAAAGTTGCATAATTTTCTCATATTCATCTCAATTAGGAAAAGCAAATGTAAAATCAGTTCTCTCTTTATTAATATTATTTACATGTTAGTAAAGACAAGCTACCTTACATAGCAAAAAGTATTGCTTATTTACCATGAAGACAAAGGAATCAACTTTCTTATCTAATAACTAATCTTAATACTACATATTTGTTAATCACACAGTTTTGTATCACATCTTTTCTAAATATAAACTAAAATTTAAAGTGATAAAATGACCTACAAATGTAAAGTTTTTGTAAATAGAAAGCATGCTCAATTCATTTCCAGAATAAACCAATAACATATTGTCTAATTTTCAGCTAAAAATCTTGTGTCATTAATAGCAATTAACATATACAATAAACAGTTATAGCAGACAGGTCTAAAAGAAAACAATACCGTAATGTCATTGAGAAAAATTCCCTTACATAGTATGTAAATCTTAATTTATTCACAAATATATAAACTCTTTAATAATATATTTTAGGTTTATCTTCCCTATTTTCAGAAAAATATTTTGGTAGGCAACAGCAACAGCAAATTTAAAACAAATTAGTTTTCAGTATGCAATGCAGGCAAATAATACAAAATCCAAAAAGCATCAAAAGTAAAAATTAAGTTTCTTTTTCAGCTCTGTCCCTCAACCACACAACTCCTTTTACAACGCAACCATCTATTAGCTTCTTTGTATTTTGTGCCAAATCAGTTCCATGGTACACATGGTTCCTAGTCATGTCACATAAAATCCTCATTCCCAAACCCTCCTAAAAATAGAATTTCTGTTGCAATTTACACACGCTCAAGAGTCTCTCTAACACAGAATATCATACATTCTGAACTTGCTTCTTTAACTTATTGTTTTGTACCTTGAAGAGCTTTCCAAATCAGCCTACAAAGGGTTACCATCTCATTCTCTTTGGTGGCTGCAGAATTTCCTCTTTTATGGATATACTATAATTTATTTACTCAGTCCTCTACTGATGGACAATTTAATTTATTTCTACAGTATATGGCTATGTAAAATGAATTCCAGAAGTGGATTTGTTGTTTCAATCAGTAGGAACATTTGTAATTTTAATAAGTTATTGCCAGTTTGCCCTTCATAAGTGTTTTGCTAATTTATACTTCTACCAGCAATTTGAGTGGCTGTTTCATGTTATCTGTTAGCACAAAAGTTATCAAACTGTTGACTACTACCAATCTGATAGTAGAAAAGGATGCTCCATTGCCATAACTCTCATTTCTTTTATTATGAATGTGGCAGGTACTCAAAATCCATTCAAATCCTCTTTCAAGTATTGCAGAGAATGGAAAATTATACACAACATTTGTCAGAGTCCACTCCAGTTAAGGGTCTAGATAGGACCAAAGCACGCCAATTATAAACAAATACGTGACATTAGAGGGAAGAAGTGAGCACACTGGAGCAGTGGTCACATGATGGGAGACTGCTTGTCTGGTAAGCACTGTGGTGGAGGTAATTGATTCTTCTCTGGTAGCTCTAACAGAAGTTCTAGTGACTGGTCTCTGGCTTCACAGATACTTAGGGGTAATGAAGACAACAGAACTGGTACTCATCAGCTACATGGTACACTTAAGCATTTAAGCATTTCTCTTGGCTGCAGGGGTCCAAGTGTGTAACAAAAGTATCTGATTTCCTAACTTTCCCAAAGACTGTCAGCTAGTCAGTACCCTCTAATAAATCACTAGCTAAAATGGATTCTGGTTCCTGCAACTAGGACTGTTGACTGATAAAATGATGAAAGTAAATAATTTGCAGATTCAAGAGTCTCAAAAGTACTTAAAAGAAGACTTCCAAGCATTTCATTTATAGAAAAAACTTTTATGTATTCAGTGTATGTAAAATGTAAAACCTTCCAGATATTTTTATCAGAATAAATTATAGGTAATAGAATTATGTTAAAACCAGTCCTAGGTTTAGAAGAATTAGGATTAGAAGAATTGACCCTAGGTTCAGAAGAACTGGAAGAAATAAAATTTAACAGACACAATGTGGCAAGACTATGAAGAGCTTTAAAGTATAAGTAACGAAAACGAGGCTGGGCATGGTGGCTCATGCCTGCCATCCCAGCACTTTGGGAGGCTGAGGTGGGTGGATCATTTGAGACCAGAGGTTTGAGACCAGCCTGGCCAACATGGTGAAACTCTGTCTCTACTAAAAACACAAAAATTTAGCCAGGTGTGAAGATGTGCACCTGTAGTCCCAGCTACTCAGGAGGCTGAGGCCACAGAATCACTTGAACCCGGGAGGCAGAGTTTGCAGTGAACCAAGATAGTACCACTGCAC